AGGACTTGAGTATTTGCATGAAAAGGCTGAGACCCACATTATCCATCGTGATATTAAGTCCAGCAATGTACTCATCTTTGATGATGATGTTGCTAAAATCGCCGACTTTGATTTGTCCAATCAAGCTCCTGATATGGCAGCACGTCTTCACTCTACTCGTGTTCTTGGAACTTTTGGTTACCATGCTCCTGAGTAAGCTGTCTAACTCTAGTCAATCGAGAAACTAAAATTCAAACGCCTTTTACTACTGTAACATTTTTCTGTTGTGAATTCTATTTCTTTTGGTTTTATTGGATTTCGACTTTGAATGAGTTGTGCCTACTTCACTATTCACCTTCAAGAATAACATTTCATCTCCAACCCTTTTTCTTGGGAGTTGTGACATAATCTTATGTTAAGTGAACCAAGAAACTTGAAAGTGTCTGAAATTCACTGTTGAGCTATGTTCAATTTGCTAACATCTAATGTCACCTTAGTGTTTTCGGCTGGCACATCTGGAAGAGAATTTTTAACTCAAATTATAATTGATCTATTTGGCAGATATGCTATGACTGGTCAATTGAATGCCAAGAGTGATGTATATAGCTTTGGTGTAGTCTTGCTTGAACTTCTGACAGGGAGAAAACCTGTAGATCCTACGCTACCACGAGGACAACAAAGTCTAGTTACTTGGGTGATTTTCTTTTGTCCTTCTCCGCCTTGGCTTTCACATTTCCCCCTTCTTTTTCCCGCTCTCTTGCCTCTTCATTTTATCCTGTTTTCTTTATCTGATCCACATGAAAGTTAACTTGCATTGTCGTCTTAATGAATCAGGCTACACCAAAGCTGAGTGAAGATAAAGTTAGGCAGTGTGTCGATGGAAGGCTTGGCGGAGACTACCCTCCAAAGGCTGTAGCAAAGGTAATTCGAATAATGCTTAAGCAATTCTCCATTTCTTTTTTGAATTGGCAGAGTTTGAGCATTTTGTAGAGTTCTGGTCTGTGCTCATCTGATGCATTTAGAATTCATTCAAAAGCTTCTTGTAGATGCTAAATTGTTTATCAACCCAATGTGACCTACCGTATATTGTTTATAAAGTGGTCTGTCAATGTTTTGGGAACTAATTTTGCTTGAGAAAGTGAAGATCAGGAAGACAAATTAAAAGAAATCTGAGGATCTTGCCATATTTTACTAGCTATAACAAGAATCTGTATCTAATACCGGATGCAACTTTACTGCAGTTAGCAGCTGTTGCTGCCCTGTGTGTGCAGTATGAAGCAGATTTCCGGCCAAACATGAGCATTGTTGTCAAAGCCCTCCAGCATTTATTAAATGCCCGACCCGTGCCTTCCGGTGACTCGTCAAACTCATAAGTTCTATTCATCTCACTCACTGTATCAATTTGCACACAAGCGTATAAGAAGAAATTGTATCTGAAGAAAGTTAGTGAATTGTTTGGATATTTTTTTGAAACACATTTCTATTAATTCACCTGTTATAAGTCATCTGTATCAAATCACGGCTCCCTTGTTTCGGTGTATTCTGTTTTCTTGTTTGTGGAATCTAATATTGTTTAGTTGTTGTAAGCATTGCTAGAGAGGGACAATGTATATACAGACTATGGTGCATCGGTTAAAGAATATTGAATTTGCATTCCTTCTTTGAGTCGCCATGTAGTGAATCTTCAACTTCAGAATGTGTTTAAACTGATTAAAATTTGTCAATCTCAAGACAGTATTCATAGCTAAAGTTATGATTAAGTTGAGGCTATGTTTATTGGAAGGGTATTGGGATGATAGAATAGAGACCATTTTTCTCTCTTTTACATTTGTTTTTATTAATTTCTATCCAAAAATGGAGTTTGATTCCTAATTTGATGGTCTTCAAATAGTTCTTATTAGTTGATTCGATTGGAAATAGACCATTGTGTCAACGAGGAATTATTCAATGAGACCGTCATAATGTAACAGACAGTTTTTTTCATGGTTCAATGTATGTTTAATTACATCAAATTTATATCTCATAGTTATTAAGGGACATGCAAGTTTTTGACTATACATCTAACGTTTATTATGAGGCAGCCATGTTGTAGTAGCCTCATTGAATAATTTTTATAAATTGGTGCTAGTATTTGGGTTGATAAATTTTCATCGTTACGTAAGATAGATCTTTGTATTTTGAAAAATATCAATTGTCCTTGAGCTTTTGATTTTGTCTAATAAATCTTTGCAACTTTAGACGGTTTATGTATCTAGGAGACAATTTAAAATTTTAAAAGTTTATAAAGCAAACTTATAATTTAATCGTTTTTTTTTTTTTAACTCCAAGCATAATAGAAAGGGATCTATGAACGAAATGACACTACATTAAAATAAAAATGATCTTAAGACTATAAAAGTACAGAACGAACTCAGGTTAAAAAAATTCTTAAAAATTGATAGTTCATATGTTAATCAATACACTATCTTTCGATTGTCCATTGAAGAGTAACTCCACTTTGAATGATTTGAAACATGTGAGTCTATTCACTATAAACTTCATGGTAACACATGCTAATCCCCATTGTGTTGAGTGACAAACATGATCTAGATCAATCTTATGTCTAATGACTTGAAAAAAAATGTGTTCGTTTATAAAAAAAAACGTTCACTCTTAAAAACAACTCAAGTCAAGCAAGCGGCGTATATTTAGGTCATAGGAGATACTAGGAAGTGTCGGGTGCTCGAGACTCGAACATTTAGCATAGCAACCCCATTCCATCTCATTTGTCCTTTTTGTTTTCATTTGGTGCTCTCTTTTTTGTACATTTTGGGGCCACGGATATATATTGCCTATCACTTCCTGCAAGAATTCTGCATCATGGAGACAACAATGATACCAAATCTTTATAGAATGGATATGCAACACACAAAGTATCAACCACAAGTGGCCTTTCATGTTTATTTTTAAGTTTTCAATTAAGCCTTTTCTCTAAATATGACTAAAAAAATTTGTCATGAAGATCCAAAATATCATTCTGGTTTAAGTTTATTTCATTTTAATTTATATAGTTTTTAAGTAAAATTAATAAAAATATCTCCAACTTTATACTTTCACTAATTAATTAATTAATTAATTTATTTATTTATTTATTTTATACTCTCAACTCTTTCAATAATACTCTGAAATTAAAAAATAATAATAATAATAATAATTTTGGAGAGAATCTTTAAGATTTTGTTTAAAAGATAATTCAAAACCTTTATTTTTAAAGTTAAACGGGTATTTTTTTAAATAAACGTAAACACTATCTTGAACTTACGTATTGGAAAACATCTTTAAAACGACACAATGAAATACTAAATGAAAATAAATAAACATTTATGCCAAAAACATCATATTCTAACCTAAGTGTAAGAAAGTAAATGCATCGACCCTATGTATGTGGTCTCGAGTTGCGGGTCAAATACAAACACAAACAATCATGAATGAGACTTATCATATCAGTCTATTTTTCTACAACGACTAACCTAAGCAGGCAATTGGATGTGTACTAATTTCTACACACGTGCGAGTATGGACCCACCAGTCGGTTTACACACCTTCTGAGCCCTTTCCTGGTCGGGCGAGCATTCTCTAGTAGTTGTGGACACCTGTTAGGAATAGCGGTCGTCATAGCAGAATTATGGTAAACATAATGATCGTTTTCGTACCTCGTAATGTACGCGTTCGTACCATAGTAAGAGGTATCTCCCAATGCATGAACACACAATGATGCATGAGGTCCCAACATTTTTCTATTTTCATTATCATATACTATCCTATTTACGTCTTCCTTCATATCTTATCATTTTATCATATCTTCCATGCATATATCGAGATTGTATAATATGTCAATTTTTCGTTCGCATGTCAATCATATCATAATGTATATATCCTTCATGTTGCATATTTTATCATGTCACATGCATCTTAATGTAAGCATAACGTATCTTCCAATGTATCTTGTCATAAAGCATATCACAATGTGCGTCGTATCATCAAACTTATCATACCATAGCATATATCATGTCATTCACATAATATATCATAGTCATATCAAATCATCAAACATATCATACCATATACATCATATATATATATATATATCATTCACATATCATATCATTCTATAAGCATATCATAGTTATATTGTTTTCTAAACTTGTCAAAGTCTTATCGTTTCTATACATATCATAGTCGTATCGTTTCATGAACATATCTTAGTCATATCATTTCCCAAACATATCTTAGCATCTCGTTTCAAGAACGTATCCTAGTCATATCGTTTCATGAACGTACCCTAGTTATATCGTTTTATCAACCTACCATAATCATATCGTTTTCTATACATAACCTAAACATATCGCTTCATGAACATATCTTAGTCGTATCATTACATTACGTTTATCGCATCAATCTCATATTCTATCTCAAACATATCATCGAACTCATCATACCCTAAGATCAAATAATCTTAAAATTTGTCTTTTTATCTAAAAAAAATACTCCTTAAATTTTTAAAAGTTTAAATATTCCCCTTAAACTAAAAAAAAAACTGTTACCAATAATTTTGGGTAAAATGGTTATACCATGAACAAAAAAAATATTCCCACAAAATACTTTTGACTTTTTAAAATAAAATTTAAAAATACGTTTAAAAAATATTCATAAATTTTTTAAAATAGCATTAACATTTAAAAAAAATTTAGAAAAAAAATACAGTCTATCCACGTCTCATAAATTATTATATTTTTTAATGTTACTTTTTTAAAGTTGGTTAGTATTTTTGTTTTTTTTTTAAAATTAAATTTGTTTTTAAATTTTTTTAAAATGTTGGTATACATTTTAAATACTTTTAAAACTCAAAAGGAACCATTTCATTCCAAACTTATTTTTTAACTCTTTTAGTTTAAATGTATTATTTAAATTTTGAAAAGGTTTAATTGTATTTTTATTAATTTAGCTAATAAAATAAACGCACTCAAATTTTCCTTCCCGCCGGCTCCTCCTCGCCTCCCTTTCAGCAGTTCAGCGAAGCCGCCGCCTTCTCTCTCCGTTCGGTGCTGCCGCCGCTGTCTTTCTTCCGTATGTGACTTCATCTTGTTATCGTAAATTTCGTAGCTTGTTTTATTAGGGTTCATAAACTGCCCCCAAACCCACCTATTTTTGGGTTGATTCGTATTTCTCCAAATTGACCCAATCCAATCTGTGTACAGTTCTACTTCGGCCCATTACTTATACCCAAAAAGTAACGGAAGCTTCTTGCCCAAGCATATTTATGGTCGTCTCTCACGATTTTCTCTCTTAGTCCTGCCTTTTCATCTCTCGCCCACCGCCAGCCCGCTATTTCTCTTCGGTATTATCTCATTTCTCTGTCTTTTCTTTTAATTTCAGCTTCTTCGTCTTATGATTGATTCAATGGAATAGTAGCTGATATGCAATTATTTGGAATTTGTGTTTGTTTGATATGGTAGATACTTTGTGTATGGGATGATTTTTTTGCTTTTTTTCTTCTGTTTTTCTCCATTGGGGTTGTTCGGATGAACATTTTGGTGAAGAATTTCACTTTTGTAATCAGACAAGGCAATTTTCTCTCAAGTTATTTTGTTTCTAAGTCACATCCCTTCCCCTATATGAAGGTCCTTGGAATGCCGAGCCACAAGTTCTTAATTTCTCTCTTGAAAGGATTATTTTCTTGTATAAGGGAAGGTAGCCTATACCCCAGAAGCGAGAGTTGAAGTAGCAATTAAGGAATAGGCGACCTTTGGACTCATCATCCTTTAAATTCTTTCTTTAAGTAAGGTTCCAACAAAAACATTGTTGTGGAGTCTAGGAAAAGTTGGTGAAAAAGCAAAGAGGCCTTTCCAGAAACCTCCCTGATTTGTTACATATCAGCTGATATGGGCACGAGAGGATTTCTTTGCATATATGTCTCCACTACTGTGCATCTGTTTTTGGAGGTTTAACTTTTACTATGATGATTTCATGGTCTTAAAAAATGAACAAATCATATCTAATGATACGTTGTATCACATGTAATCAGTTAACTGCCTCCTCATCCCAGTCAACAATTAGCTTACTCACAAAAACAACCATATTTGTAAGGTAAGTTTGGGATGAATAGTAGTCTTAGAATAAGTTTAGGGATCCTTCCAAACACAAGTCCCCTCACCTGTTGCTAGCAATGACAATCAATTTCCCAGGGGTTTAAACACAGATGAGGATCAACAAATGGAAACCCAATTGTAGGTACGCGTATTACATCATACTGATTTTGATTTATGCCAAAGAGTCGTCTACTCCAATGGAAATCTACAGAGCCAAGAAATCCTATCGATGAATAGAGACTGAGCAATAAAACTGTAAAAACTTTGACCATCTCAATTACATGGAGAATGCTAAAAGAAGACGATACCTGTATTTAATGACTTTATCCCATCGTATACAGAAATTGTCATAATCCGCTTTTCAATTGTCTTGTTTGTGTTTCTTTTGCAAACTTCTCAAGGTGGACTGAGACTATCTCTTTCTAAAAATCCTCCATACTTTTATAGAAACTCCACACGTTTCTAGATAATGACAAGGATTTAGGGTCACTTGGAAAGACAAGCAAACATCAAACCACTATGGGAACCTGCTAAGTAAATTAAGAGCAAACTCATATTAGAGAAAAAAGGATCGAGCGTTTTCTTGGCCTTGCACCATAGAGAAAGCACAAATAGGTCTTTTTCATTGACAACTTATAAGTTCTTCAGAGTTTTCCAAATTTAATATATTTTTCATGAAGTATAGACTATTCGTCAGTATAATTGTTGATGTGCTAGATGAAGCTGGTTTTTCTTATTCTTCTAAGTTTCTCTTGTTTATGCTGTGAAGTTACGGGATTCATTCTCTTCTTAGTTTAATCCACCTCTTCCTTTACGTGAATGAAGTACATAACTTTGTGATTGTAGGACACCACTATGAAGAGTGTGCTGGCAATTACCGATGATGCTGTTCTGGCTACAAGCGTTGTTATTAATGCTTTACAAGAGCTTGGGAATGAATATGTTGAAAATTGTGATTCACAAATAATCACTCAAGCCTTTTCTCTAAGTAAGTTTTTTAATGCCTTCTCATGGGCTGTTTAGTCAACACTTCGATCCATTTGATATTTAGTTCAACGGTTTTGTGCAGTTTGGATTTCATTTTGAAGGCTGAAGGTGTAAATTGGTGTTATAGTGATGACATCAACTTACCGACACTGGCTTATTTCATTATTTTAATGAACTATTATGTTTCCTGAAAATAAACAGCCATCCTGATATCTGATAAGTGACTTGGAAGGATAAAACGACAATGATGTCAGCTCCTTTTCTATATTTTCACTCAAAATTAAAACAAATATATACACACTCTACATGTATGTCAAAGTCTTTCGGAGTAGCTGAAAATAAATCCCAGTGGTCAGTGTCTTCAGAGTCGAGATTTCTTGTCTCATGTGATAGCTTTCATGCAGACCAGTGACATTTCAATGTTTTTAGCAGTTTCCACTCCCTGTTAGTCCAACTTTTTCATTGCATTTTGTTAGTTATCTGCTAACTTAATGTGATGGTTTACTTTTAATTTTCACCCCTCCAAATTTACTCCTTGTTCTTATGTTTTTTTCTTGGTCTCATGCACATGAGTTGATAGGTTCACGTGATATAATGAGTGTGTTATTGATAGTTGTTGATTTATGATAGATAAGCTGCCTCTCGGAGCATCATCCATGGATGTTGTCATTTCTATCTGTAGATCTGATTTTCCAAGTGATCGGTTGTGTGAGGAAATCTCAAGAGTTCTGAAGCCTGATGGGACGATCCTTATGTACAAGACTTCACAATCTGTTGCAGTTGAGAAAGATGAGGTAATTACTGAATAGCTGGTAATTTTTTACATTTGGAACATTCATTCAGAGACAGATTTATTACCCTCATTTTTTTTTTGAAGTCCCTTGCCATGGTGAGAAGATTACTTTTGACAGGCTTTCTAGAAGCTCAAGTAACAGAGAATAAATTAGCTTCTCCATCTGATATAGAGAATTTCGTGGTAAGATTCAGATATCATTTAGTTTATGGTCTTTAGACAGCCCCCTCTACCCCATCGACGGAACCACTATCCTACATTTTAGTAATGTTGAAAATGGCTGGTAATTTATGACCAAATACTTTGTTTCATGTTGCTTCCATCAACTTCTAAATGTAAAGATGGTTGGAAGGCATCTCATATCCAGGATTTCCTTTACTTTAACCATTTGGTTTCACCAAATTTACGTTAATTCTGTTTTGACTTCTTGTAAGTAGCATTCTATATTACTTTTGCACCTTTTTTGTACATAGATAAGAGCGAAAAAGCCTTCTTGGAAGATTGGCTCCTCTTTTTCTATTAAGAAGTCGGCAAAAAGCTTACCAAAGATTCAGCTTGATGATGATTCTGATTTGATCGATGAAGATAGTTTATTGACTGAGGAGGATTTGAAGAAACCCCAGCTACCGTCAGGTAAACAATGAAATTATTGACATATATCATATTTGAATTTTATTTAGTAGAAGGCAGTGTTGGTTACCATTTATTGTTCGATTTGTTGTACAGTTGGTGACTGTGAAGTTGGCAGCACAAGGAAAGCTTGCAAGAACTGCTCTTGTGGTAGGGCTGAAGCAGAGGAGAAAGTAGAAAAACTGGGATTGACTCCAGATTTGTTGGAAAATCCTCAATCTGCATGTGGCAGTGTAAGTAAAATACTTAATTGACCACAGATTTGTTGGTAACAAAAGCTCATAATTTTAAATCTAGTTCATATTTTCTTTATGGATAGAATCTATTTACTTCATATTTTAAAAATAGCATCAATTGGATTATCCTCATGTTTTTATGGAAAGGGAGATTATTCATTTCTGCCACTAATGTTATGCCCCTCTGTTCAGTCTCTGCTTTCACTTGCAATTCATCTACCTTATTGTTTATTGGGTCTGCATGCTAATGTCAATACAACTTTCAGTGTGGACTCGGAGACGCTTTTCGGTGCAGTACATGCCCATACAAGGGTCTTCCAGCATTTAAACTTGGGGAGAAGGTAGGCAAAAGCTTTATAACTCTCTTCACCTTTTAATGTAGTTTTGAGATTATTCCATTACAAAGGGGTGGGAGGATTTGAACTTTCGGCTGTAAGTAGAGATGCCTTGACAGCTACTTGATGACTAAGCCAGTTTTTTTTTTTTTAAATGCAGGTGTCACTACCTGGGAATTTCCTTGCTGCCGATATATGATATGGTTTTTTTATTCCGGGGGGGGTTGCAAAAAGTGGGATAATGACCTTTGAAGGTTGCCATCATTGATGGCTAGTAGCTTTACAATATCTTCAAGCTGTGCATCCGGCATTCGGTTGTTGGATGTCCTGGTTGGTTTAGCTAAGCCATGTTACCATTACTACTGATTTGAAACATCTTATAAATGGTTTGGTGAAAAGAAGGACGATTATATGATTTACCTACTAGCTGTAGTAACTTATAGGGTCTCCCATTACTTGAAAGAGAAATATAATTGTTAAGGCAAGACTAATTGTAGTTCCACTTCTATTCAATAAGAGGCCAACCACTTTTATGATGATATTGGCTTAGAAACCATGATAAATAATTTAATTTTACCAATGGGCAATCATGTTATAAAGGCCTTGTGAACAACCATCAAAATATGTATTATATATTGTTTGTTATCTATGAATGAGATTTTCTAAGCTCCAGAAGCCTAGACCACCTCTTGTCTATAGACGCAGCATTCTGTGCTCCAATATCTGCAATTAACAGTTCTCTGTTAGTCTTTTGATTGCGTGTGAAAGCTTGAATGACATGAAGACCACTTACATTGCACTGAGGGTTGAGATTTCTCACACAACTCTGAGCAAGTGTCCTGTAAAATGCCTATATTGTTAAGTTCTTCCGATTGATTCTTGTACTATTTAGATATGGTCATTGTCATTGATAACTAGTCGTATTTGCATTCAACTCTTACCTTTGTTGAGGTGGTAAGCCTAATTGTGTCACGTACCAATGAATCTAGATCAGCCTCAAGTCCGGGTTTAACGTAGATCACCTGTTAAATTTTAAGCAGGGTGCCAAAGCTCTTAGAGATTGAAGTGAAGAAATGCAAAAACTTCAGAAACTTACCGATGGATCATCGCCTCCAATGTCTGGAAGAGTAGTCTCCCGTTTGGCTCTGTTTGATGACAGAACAAGTACATTAAAATTTGCATTGATCTGTTGGATTAAAATGATTGTAGGTGTTAGAACCTCGGTTGGGATGCTGCTGAATTGAACCCTCATGAATAGATGAGATAGAGATGACAAGGAAATTGTGAAGGTTACTATACTTTTTAATCTAATAGCTGCCATCATTGTCTGCAAATTGCATATTAAAGAAAGTTGTGGAAGTAGAACTATACGTTATGTGATATTATCATTTGTTTGATTGTTTTAACAGAGCTACCTCTCTGCAGTATGGTGAAGAACAGGTACAGCACTTTCGAATGAAGGATGTGTTGATCTTTCCATCCACGGTAAACCCGAAACTTGCGTGCTGGTAAATAAATGGAATGTTAGTATTCTAGTAATCTGATAGAGCATTTTGTGTAGGATTTTCTCATTTTGGCTGTTTGGATTTCATAAATTGAATCAAAAAGTATTGTTCAATCTCCATTCTCTTTGAGCTGATTAATGGATTCTTCAGCATGTACATCTTTAAAAACAAAAATATAAAACAATAATAATGAAAGAAAAAAGAAAAAAAGAAAAACTCTTTTTAACAAATATTGTCCTCTTTGGGCTTTCCTTTTCGGACTTCCTCTCAAAATTCTTAAAACGCGATGGCTAGAGAGAGGTTTTCACATCTTTAGAAAAAGTATTTCGTTATCCTCCCCAATCGTTGTGAGATCCCCTACCTATCTACCCCTTTGGGGCTCAGCATTGTCGTTGGCATTTGTTCCCTTCTCCAATTGATGTGGGACCTCTCAATTCATCCCCTTCGGGGTCTAACGTCCTTACTGGCACATCGCCTTGTGTCTACCCTCTTTTAGGGCTCAGCCTCTTCGCTGGCACATCCTCTATTGTCTAACTCTGATACCATTTATAACAGCTCAAGCCCACCGCTAGCAAATATTGTTCTCTTTGGGCTTTCAAATTTCCCTCAAGGTTTTGAAACCGTGTCGGTTAGGGAGAGGTTTCCACACCCTTACAAAGAATGTTTCGTTCTGCTCTATTACCACATACATTACTTTGTATAGAAAAGTCCTTTTTTCTCTCTCCAACACACTCAAGTCTCAATCTCTTTCTAAACAAGTCCCTTCCCCTCTCCAACAATAGTTCACTCTGAGATGTTATTGGAGATGGGTGCAATATAGTTGCTATTGGTGTTGAAAGATTCAAGTTTGTGTTCATCAAGCAGAAGATAAAGAATAATTCTCTTTTAGAAAACTATCAACCAGACATAGGTTCACTAAATTTTGTTATAAACAACTTGAAATAGATTTTTGGAGAATAAGTAATGGAATTACCTTCTCAATACAGAGATTGATGAAGACGTGTGCGTTTTTGTGTTCATCTTCTACCAAGTCTTCTAAGTTGAAGTCTTGCAGGGAAAGCAGGTAATCACAGCTCCATCTCCCCTGCCACATGCTTCCTGCTGTTGATATTGTGATCAGACGCCGTGGAGGTTTGCTGCTTCTTCTCTTCATTAAAACAAAAAGTCTTGAGATGGAAAGGAACTGTATGAAGAAATATACTTTCTAGAGACACTAATAGATCACTCCAAGAGTGTTCGAAAATGGATATCTGCAGAAATCTGAAAGATGAAAAGGAGAATCTGCTTACCAAGGAGATATCATTTCTCTTTGAAGAAGCTTTGATTTTGAATGCTTGAGTTGCAAATTTGGATGCAGCAGCCTTATTGAATGAACTTGAAATGGAGTTGACATTTGCAGCTGCTACAAGGTGCCCAGCTTCTGCCATTTCTCTGTAAGAGACGATAATGCGTGGAGAAAGCAGGAAGTTGGAATTGGAACCTTATCTGCTCAAAATATAAGGCCCCAATTCCTTCTTGGAAATGTCTTCATTTTGATCTGAGTTTAGCTATTTATCTCAATACCTCTTTGGCCGCTGTAAATTTTATGGTCCATAATTTGTGTGCCAACTCTTCCTAATTTTGCATTTTAACAATATTATACAGATTTTTTTTTTTAAGACTTGATAGCTACAGATATGAGCGTAACTTAAATTGTTAAAATACATCCCTTTAATCAATAAATTATGGCTTTTAATTTTTCACTTTGCCCGTGTTGAACTGATACGGTTTAAATGGACATATCTTAAGCTTTCCGAAATTTTACAACTAAATTTTTTGTTTCATCTATCAATAATTCTTAAGCATGAATAAAGAACCTTTTTTCAGGAAACATGTATACGAAACTAAAATTAATAATCACGATTCGACAGCGTTTATGAACTTTGTGAACCATATAAGTACATTCTTTACCGAATTTTGATGAGTTTTCATGATTTATGGTCAATGAGCTACCTTGAATAGTTGGTAGCAACTCCATTTTGACATTTGAACAAAACATCAGGATCATGTCATTGCAATAATTAGCAGTTTATAGCTACACAAACTTCCATCATTACACTGAGAATTTCTCACTTCTATAAGATTTTCCATAATTTCCTTCTTCAACCTATTCACCTTGTACTGGATGTACTCAATTCAAAGGCCTGTTAGCCATGAGTTTCAGATAACGGTTCCAAAAATGGCAGAGAAACCAGAAAGAGGTACCCAAAAAATGCAGTTCATGATCATTATATTGGTCAAATATGGGATACAGTGATTACCATTACACTACTTTTGTTTACTTCTCGTGTCTTTTCTTTGAGCTCCGAAAGATCGGCAAGTGTCGGGAGAAAGAAACCAATGGGCAGCCAAAGAAGCGGAGAAGATTTTGGCAATCCTTCTCTCCATCATCACCCTGTGAACTTATGTGACTCAAATAAGTTTTCCCTTCGTAGATGTACCATAGCTGTTGGCATAGAAGTACTGCCAATCCAATTTGAAGTGAGAAACTTGAGATAAAGAGATAAATAAGGATGAACCCTCTGATAGACAGTAGCGTTGTGGATCTCAGAACAGCATGAATGATTTCCTTTGAAAGACTCCAACCGAACTTGCTTCCAGAACCATTCAGACGACCCAACTCGTGGACCGATAACGGTGGCCATATATGCCAAAGCGAGTATACAGCCATGATTGAAACATAAATTGTACTCACAATAGCTGAAATAAGGAACATAATGAAGTGTTTATGATTTCCTGCACCAACACAGTTCCCTATCTGCACCCCCAAAAGAATTATGATCAGAATGCTAGAGAAGCCTTGGTCATAAGGAATGAACCATTCGCTTATCGACAGGGACTTCTCTAAAGCCGAAATTACCAGCACGAAAATATATACAAAAACAGAAAACTAGATGCCAACAGGATCCATAGTAATGGTCCAAAGGGTAACAGACATTCTTCTAAAAGTATTGAATCTACCAACATTAAAAAACATAAAAGGCACAGAGGGTTAGGGAGAGTCCATATGTCCACAGTTAACATGTTGCTTCTATCTCACTCCATCACAATCTTTTTTTTCCTTGTTAATATCGGTGAGTGTCAGGGCCCACTTGCAAACACCTCGACTATTCTCATGGAATAACCACTGAACCCGACTAGATTTGGTTTGTCAAGATAACTCACAAGAGATTAGATCTTAGGTAGGTTGCAACCATGACTTGAACTCATTCCTTTTAAGCCTTTTATTTGTTACATGGTGCTTATTGATCACTAGATCAACCCAAGGTGGTTCACTCAATGACAATCTTTTACACTAAATCAAATGTTAAGACTTGTCGGTTCCAAAGCAATCTTGATTTAGTACCAGTTATTGCTATAAAATTCTACAACGTGATTAGAAATACTGACTGTCAGAATGAATTTGCAAAGCTCCTAGCTGCAGTGATTCAGTAGTCATTAAAGGATCACCTGCCACATCAACAACCCTCCAGTCTACCCTGCTTATGAAGCATTGATTATTACGAAAGCATATAAGATCGTCCAAGGCATTGATAAATTGTTACTTGGAATTAACCACTCTACTCCTTTAGGTAGTTCTCTTGGGGAAAGTAGATTGTTTTTTTTTTTTTTTTTTTTTTTTTTTTTTTTTTTTTTTTTTTTTTTT